TTGTGGTGGGCACTTCAGTCTCAGCTACTTAGGAGGCTGAGGTAAGAGAATAGCCTGAGCCTAAGAGTTTGAGGTTGCTGTGAGCTATGACACTAGGGTTAACATAGGGAGCTATGACACCAGGGACAACAAAGTGAGACTTATTAAAAAAAAAAAAAAAAAGAACAATAAGAGTAGGTAGCTCCACAATAATGAAAACTAGTACTGATACTTGAATACATAGACCAATTAAAAGAAAAGAACAAAGTGGACAGAAATTGACTAAAATGTTTATGTAAAGACATTGTGTGTAATAACAAAGGTGTCATTTCATTTTAATGAGAAAAATTAGATTATCCAATAAAAAGTATTATGGTAACTGGTTAACCAACTGAAAAAAAATCAAACTGAAGCTCTACTATTGAAGGATGATAAATGGTCCCATCAAAGACACCCACCTTAAATACCTGGAACCTGTGAATGCCACCTTATTTGGAAAAAAGATCAGTATCTTGAGATGAGGAGAAAATCCTGAATATCCTAAATGCCATTATAAGTATCCTTATAAGACAGAAAAGGAGAAGACGAGTACAAAGAAGAAGGCAATGTGAGGACTGGGTGAAGACTGGGAATGATGCTCCCACAGGCCAAGGAATGAGACAGCCTCCAGGAGCCAGAACAGGCATGGAATATATTTTCCCCTAGAGCCTCTGTAGAATTTCCAGTCCTACCAACATCTTGGTTTCAGACTTCTGGCCTGAAGACTATGAGAAAATCAATTTCTGATTTTTAAGACACTTAAGTTTGGGGTAATTAATATACAAACCTCATTCATTTAACCAAAATAATGGCAGGTGAACCAAAGATTTAACTGTAGAAAATGAAACCATAAAATTATTAAATGAAAATATGGGAGAATTTAAAGAATAATCTTGGATGATAGGTGACTTCCTAAAACCCTAATGAAAAACAACTTGCATATTTGGCCACCTTGGCTTGGTGCCTGTAGCTCAGTAGCTAGGGCGCCAGCCACATACACCAGAGCTGGCAGGTTCAAATCCAGCCCAGGCCTGCCAAAAAACAATGACAACTAGAACCAAAAAAAAAAAAAGATACAAAATGATAAAAATCTTAGAAGAAAGTGTGGGGAAAACTCTTGATGATGTTGAATTGGGGAAAGATTTTATAACAAAGATTTCAGTGGCCATTGTAACAATAACAAAAATTAACAAATAGGATTTAATTAAGCTGAAAAGCTCCTGCACAGCTAAGGGCACAATAAGTGAAGCAAAAAGACAACCTTTAGAATGGGAAAAGATATTTGCAGGGTATGAATCTGACAAAGGGTTGATAACTAGAATCTATAGAGAAGTCACTTAATCAACAGAAAAAGAATAAACAATCCCATTTTTCTTTGAGTAAGAGATATGAATAGAACATTCTCTGACGAAGACAGACGAATGGCTAACAAACATTTAAAAAAATGCTCATTGTCCCTGATCATTGGAGAAATGCAAATCAAAACCATCCTGAGATATCACCTAACCTCAGTGAGAATAGCTCACATCACAAAGTCTCAAAGCTATGGATGTGGAGAGAAGGGAACACTTTTACACTGCTGGTGGGACTGCAAACTAATACAACCTTTTTGGAAGGAAGTATGGAGAATCCTCCAAGAACTCAAATTAGACCTCCCATTTGATCCCACAATCCTATAACTAGGCATCTACTCAGAAGAAAAAAAAAGAATCCAATGTACTCAATTCTAATATGAAGGAAGTAGATGATCTAATACAAGGTGGGGGATGGGGAATGAGGGATCAGGGAGAGGGGAGGAGGGAGGGAGATAGGGGATCGCAGTGTATGACACACCTCTTGAGGGCAGGACACAATTACAAGAGGGACTTTACCTAACAACCACAATCAGTGTAACCTAATTCTTTGTACCCTCAATGAATCCTACACAGTAATAGATAAATAAATAGTATTCTCAAAGTTAAATTTCTCACTGAAGTATTAATAAAGAAGCTATTAGATAACCAACTATTTTGTGAATAATCACAGATTAGCAAACTATTTGGTGATAAAAGTTGGATTTGAGTAATACTGTTTCGTTAAAAAAATACTATTTTGTTAAAAAAATAACACTTTGTATGTGTTCATATGCTATAATTATACTTCACTACAGATTTTCAAACAGAAAAAGAAAAAAAAGAGTATTTATACTATGTTATCCTTAACATAAGAACTACAGGGATATAAGAAAATACTCACGTGCATATTCATGCAAAATAAATACAGGAAAGATAAACTAGAACTAAATAGAATGGTTACCTATAGTGTGTAAATGGGCAAGGGACTGGGAAGGGGAACAGAGGAACAGGAACAAAAGGATGAAACACTTTTCTGAGTGCACCTCTTCTAAATCTCTGACTTCTGGCACAACAGTAGTATTTCACCCACCCATTCTAAAACATAAACAGAATGTGGGGAAAACTTAAAAAGGGAACATAAACACTAACATATGACTCTAATTGCACTTCAAATGAATAACACAGCCATACTGACTGGGGTGGTGAAGAAAAGTTTAACCTAATTCTGGAAAAGTTACATTTACAGTACCTTGACTCAATACTGTAAGGCTAAAGACAAAAAGAACTGTACATAAATGTTGTAATCCAGACAGGAAAAGTATCTGTTACATGGGTATGAGTTAGTAATTCTGAAACTACTCTACATATATGCTAGAACTGAACAAATGAGAGCGGGGTTTCTCAGTGATAGAGAAAGAAGTTACAAATATGGAAAGGGAAAAAGCCAAATGAACCCTATGGACTGAAGTCAGAAACATCAATTTAAACTGATAGTTGTTAAAATAAAAATACTGCACCAAGAAGAAAAAAATCTGTTTATCAGAAGGACATTTGCACTTAGACTATTTAACGCAGCTCAATTTACAATCACCAAAATGTGGAAATAGCCTAAATGCCCACCAACCCAGGAACGGATTAACAAACTGTTGTATATGTATACCATGGAATATTATTCAGCCAGTAAAAAGATGGAGACTTTACATCTTTTGTATTAAACTGGATGGAAATGGGGAACACATTATTCTTAGTACAGCATCACAAGAATGGAGCAGGAAGAATCCTATGTATTCAATTCTGATAGAAGGACAACTGATGACCTAGTACACAGTCAGGGGTGGAGGAAAGGGGGCGCAGGGAGAGGGAAGGAGGGAGAGGGGTGGGGCATCATAGGATATGACACACATCTTAGGGACATGACACAAGTATAAGAGGGACTTTACCTAACAAATGCAATCAATGTAACTTGGTTCTTTGTATCCTCAATGAATACCCAACAATAAAAAAAAGAAAAAAAATACATATATATATGTAAAAATACTGGCTGATACATTCAGAATAAAGATGTATGTACATGAACAGGCTAATGTACACAGATACACCTCCTAGTTTTATCACCAAAGAGGCCCTAGAAGCAACAGCACACTGGTAGCAATGAGCGCATCTAGCAGCCAGCCCTTGGTATCTAAATAGGATCCTTCAACAAAAGGAGTCAGGGCTCTTTGGAGAAGTGGCCGATTCTGGGATAGGGAAAAGAAAACAAAGATGAGCCTGGAATATCTCATAGTGTCAAAAAGAGAAAATGTGCTAAAAAAAAAAAAAATATATATATATATATAGGGCTTACTGAAAGATGATAGGAACCACTCTGAAGGAACATCTATTTGCCGAAGCTGGACATAGTATTGGATCTTAATTCATAGAATAAAGTAAATATTTTAGACCATACCAATGTGAAAAAATAAGAAATAAATAAATGTGGGAGAAAGAATAGGTGTTCCTTTAGTTATAATTTCAATTAATAATTATAGAAGAAAAGAGTAAAAAAGAAATAGGATTTGCATTGTCTTAAAATACCATCCCCAAGAAATTTATCAACTCAAAAAGAGTGATAGCAGCTTTCCAGTGCAGAAACTTGGCAGACAATACTTTAACCAAATAGCCAAAATCAGCATCACCAGTAATAAGACATTGTTAAGACCTTAATATCACGTACAAAGGAGGACACGATACTCCTATGCTTTTTTTTTTTTTTTATAAAAGATGTATGGTTTCATTCCAGATATGAGAAAATATCAAGCAAACCCAAACTGAGATAGTCTACAAAATAACTGACCAGTATTCATCAAAAGCATCAGGGTCATGAAAGATAAGACTGTTATAATTGGCAAAGACTTAGGCAAAATAACTACAGGTAATGTAAGATCCTAGAACAAAGAAAGGACATGAGTGGAAAAACTGGTGAACACCAGGTAGGTCTGTAGCTTAGTTAACAGTATTGTAAAATGTTAGCTTCAAGATTACATAAGGTGCTAACATTAGGAGGAAGTTGGGTGAAGAGTATATTTATACTCTGTACTATTTTTATAACTTTTCTGTAAGTCTAAAATTAATTCAAATAAAAGTTAAAAAATTAAAAACTAAAAATTCTACAATAGTACCTTTTTTTTTTAGTGTAAATATAGCTATTTAGTGGCTTTGAGAACCACTACATGTTCATCCACATTAAGCTATCTTGGGGAATCTGAGCAGGCAGGATCATTCTGCAGTGTTACTTACATATACAGCTCTATAAATACAAACAATATACCTACAAACTATTCCCCTTCATTTGATTTAGTCCTTCTCAACTAAGATCATGCACATAAAGAGTAATTTTTTTGTTTTAATCACAGGCAGGATGGATTCACATGATGGTTTACACTAGGCTATAACTTTGATGGAAACTGGATTAGTTTTAAAATTCACTATTTTGGAGTCTTATAATATAAACACATGCCTAGGCTTTAAGACTCTGAGTAGCTAGCCCATTTTTTATGCTCAAATATGAAATAAGAAATGGAGAAGCTAGAACCCCTAAATACTATTACTATGTTCTTCCTAATTCATTAAACATAGTAATTTTTCTATTTTATAAAGCAATATTCTTACTTGGAATATGCTGGAGAAACCCAATATGGATTGTCTTCTGCTGCTTTGGCATGACGCAAAATGGCTTCCCGGGGGTTACTGTCATCGGTTTTGTCTAAAGCAATGTTCTTTACAATGTAGGATGACAAAGTGCCCCCATGGGTTCCAACTCGGCCACCACGACCTATTTCAAAAAATCAAAGTAGAAACTAAATAACACTTCAGAAACTGAACATAATATATACCTGCATACACTGTATTTATCTGAGCACAAACCACAGGGGTTTTGAGTACCATCTTTTCAGCTTTCTGATAATCAGAACCAAAAGTAAGAGACAGCCAAACCTCAACTTCCCCATAACATTTTTAAATAGGAAGAGATTTTTTTTATTGTTATGTCTCATGTAACTTATAGAATGATATCAATATTAAAAAAGACAAAAATTTGCCATGTATATGCTTTAAAACAATTCCTCTGGCACAAACATGTGAAATTCAATTAATAAAAATGGTTCATGTTTTACTATACTGGGATTGCCCTGCTAGACATGAAATGCCTCAGGGCAGGAATTTGTTCTCTGCTGGATCTCCAGCAGCTAGAATGATGCCTGGTACTCAAAAAAAGGATGGCTTTTCAAAATGATAAAATAAACACATGAAAAGCCAAATAACACTAAATATTAATTTCATAAATCAATGTAAGATGAAACTAAATAAGGCAGGAATAACTAACTGGCAGAGAATGTGTGTAGCCAGAAACTATGTGTATGGAAGAACCCAGCACTTCCATGTGAGGTAGCTGAGAAGGTCTTTATGGAAAGTGATGGATACAATTTGGGAAAGCTCAAAAGGTAGAGAAGGTTATGTCCAATGAGCAGACTAACTACAAAAATACAGACAGAGGAAAGTCCAATGCGTTTCTGGGGATAGGAGTAAATCAACAGTCATAGCAGAAGGTCAGAGTACCAGAGAAGTGAAGTATAAATCTACAAAGGTAGGTTAAGAGTCAGATTGTAGAGAATCTTGAATCTCTAAAAATACAACTGGACAGTGGGAAGCTTATGGAGGTTTTGGGCAGTAGCAACATGAAAGCTAGAGGAGTTAGAGGTAAAAGTTATATGTAAGATGAATGGAGGTGGGATGGGGGAGTGACTTAAGATAAGGTGCCTAGTAAAAGGGCTCAGAATAATTCAAATAAGAACATTATTTGGTAACTTTGATTGGAATAGTAGCAGAGAAAGTGAAAAAAAAAATTGAGATTGATATGCAAAATGTTGTCAGTGCTGAAAAGGTGAGCCAAATAGATACAGATCCCAAACTCAGGCTCAGATGAATGAATGAGTCCAAAACTGTAGGCTTGAGAGCCGGGGACAAATGGAGATCACAGAGGTGAAAACAGAAACAGGTATGTGCTGTACTATAACCAGTGCTGCCTTGTTTTCTTCTGGCACCTACTTCTTAAAAACTTTAAGGATTTTTGTTCATTTTATTATGGGCACCATCTTTTTATTAACACAAAATTTAATGGATGGCCACTTTCTGCCTTGTGTGAAACCTAATCAAAGGGCCCAGTGTTATATATTAAGCCAATATTGAGAGCCGTGGTTTTAACACTGGGTTCCAAGGAGCCCCTGAGTGCCACTGAGGTCACCTGTAATGGCTCAAGTTGGAGACTCAGCAGAGAGAGCTCCAGGCTTCCTCCCTACTTCAGCCACATTTTTATCAGTTTTATACACTGGGATTCTGCATCAGATGTTTAAAATTCTGTTGCTTTTTAAAAAGAAAATTTAAAAAACAACTGTCTGGTAAAAATCTCTCTGGAGACAAAGAAGCATCCAGGCCCAGATGATCCTCCCAATTCTCTATCAATTAGTCCATCCTGCCCTTCAACCCCCTTTTCAGGAAACCAGCTAGACAACAGTCACCTGGGCCTGCTACAGGAGGTTCAGGTTTGTGCGACTTCAGGGGATCCAGCCTGTCCTTCTCCAGCTGTTTCCTTGTACTTCGTTGGCGGGGCTCACGGAACATAGGCAAGGCATGAGCTGCAAGAAGTCACATTTGAAGATTTTATTATAATAATAACCCTTCCATCTTAAAACATAGCTAAGGCATGACTTAGGGATGAAATGGAAGTCATAATGACAGCCTTCATCTAATAATAAAAGACAGTCTTAATGTAACCAATTAGCCAGTTTTTTTTGAGACCAGATTTATTATTCACCTCTTCTGGTAGCTACTGGCACTCAGGAAACATTGTCGAATATTGTCATGGAGACACTGGTGAGTATCCTCATCTCCCAAACCATGAGTAGCAGTTAAAACTTAATTGTCTATTTTTAGACAATTCTCATGGTTTGGGAGATGGGGATCCTTGACAAAAAACAAACAAACAAACAAACAAAAATTTAAAAAAAGAAACTTAATTGTCTGTGGTTTTGAAAAGAAACACCTATTAGGCCTGCCTCTTATTTTTTCTTACAGGACCCAAGTGTAAACAATGCCAGCAGCTTGCTGTCAGCCGAGAAGTTTCCTCAGATGCCTCATCAACACTGGAATCACTTCACACGTTTTTGAAATGTGACCACCTCTCAGGAGGAGGTGACAGCACTGGGTAACCGGAAGGGAAGAGTGCTTATCCCACTGAAACTGGGATAAAGGTTGCCTTGATATGAGGGGTATCTAAATCTCCTGGCATGGAGACCTTATCCCTCCTTCTGTAAGGTGGACAAAACAAGAGAATAAAAAACAGAGTGACATTTGTTCAACTGAGGTTGTCTGCTTACTCAGTGTCTAAAATCAAATTTTAGAATATAAAAGAGTGTGCACATTTAGAAGGGCAACAGTACAAAATTCTGAGGGCAAAGGAAAAAAAGAAGAAAGTGTTTAATAACTATCCTTTTCTTGCCCCTCAAAAGTACTAGCATAATTTCTTTCAACCCTTCCATATAGATTAAAACCTCTTTTAAAAGAGAAACTTTTTCTAGGAGACCAGGAGAAAGCAGGTAAAGGTTTAAAGGGAACTTATAATATGAATGAAATATCTATAACCCTTCAAATCCTCTTTCAGTATCCCCTCCTACCCTCACCTCCTACTGCCAACAGGGGCCAGGCCATATCACTCAACCGTAAAACATGCCAGCCTGAGACTGAGGAGCTGAGAAACACAGCTACCCGTCACTGTATAGGCAACACAACACAACGGTATTTTTAGGAGGGGGAAAAATAGCTTTTCACTTCAAACGACTGGGGGAATTTAAGTAGGCCGCATGTAATTACATGAGCTAGACTGGTTATAACACCGACTTTGACACTTCCACTCTTGCAAAAAGTGTCCTGGGATCTCTTTACTGATTACAAGGGAGCCCCACCACCAGGGAGAAAACCCAGGAGTACAGCGCCCCCTGGTCTGTAGACAGATTCACTGATAAAGTCCACAAGGTCATCTGCTAAGGACAACTGCTATTGCATCCAAAATTTTCTTACTGTTACCTGCTGCAGGTTTGAGACAGTGGCTCTGGGAACACAGATCTGTCAGATTAATGAGATTGTGTGACAAATGTTGAGAGAAGCCACTCTACCCTAGGAAGCTTTCTGTTTATACCCCTAGTAGTAAATTTGATATACTATTAATGCCTCTGAAGCAGTCTACCATGGTCATGGAACTTCAGAGGGGACTAGAGCAGACCCTTCAGCTAGTCTCTTCACTCTCCTGATGAAGTTCAGTTGTTCAACATTATACTGACAGTCAGAGGTGAAACTGGACAAACCCAGGCTTCCTGATTCCAAAACCAGCGCCCTTTGTTTATTCTCAGAACAGACTGTTATTCTTTAAAAGGCTGCTATAGTGTAATGCATTAAGCTCAGATAGGCTTTTCCCTTTTGAGTTGAAAGTTCCATGAAATCACCCTGTCCCTGTGATGAGGCACAGAAGCTAACAGGGTTAGCTGCTACATGACTCGTAATCCACCTACACGAATGGAGATTTTGTAATCTATGCCTGAACTCTGAGGACTTTTTCTGTCTCTGAAACCATGCGATCAACACATGAGAGTAGAAGGGAGCTGCATGACTAAGACACACGCTCGACTTACGGGTGATGATGTAGTCCTGGGTTAGAGTCTCAGCTTGTTTCGCCTTCCGCTGGGTTTTAACCACACATAATTTTGCTCCCCTATAGGGGGTAAAAGCAAATCATTTTATTTATTTGGTCTTAGAAACATAAAATCTATGTTGAAAGCATTAGATACTTTCAGGAACATACTCTGCACATACTCTATCTAGAGAAGTCCTTGACTTTCTGAGGGATGGCAACAGATGGGCCCTCAGTGACAAGGGATTAAACTCACAGAAAGCAAGTCTGTCAGTCAGTAGTTATTACCAAGCAAAAGGGTTGGGGCAGTAATAGGCCACTAGGATATAAGTTAAAAAAATCCCATAGAAATAACTTAAAAATTTAAGATCTTAAATAAATATTAATAAAATTAACTGGCCATTTCACCATAAAGGTCACGGGGTTCAACTTTTAGTTTATATCCCAGATGAAAGCAATCTGGGTGGTCTATACTCCAAGTGGCATATGTCCACATCTCAAATACAAGAGTGTAAGTGTCTGGAACTGAGTTAGCTGACAGTGTTGCCAAGGGGCTACCACCTAAGAATGTGTGGAGCTAACCAAAAGTGTGCTTAGAACATTTTATCCCTCTTTAGCAATAGTGAGCTATCACTTTCAAGAGAAGCAAATAAAAATATGTAAATTTCTTAAAGATTCCAAATAGAGTGCCTTCTGAAGGGGTGTTATGAAATCAGGTTCATCATTTTCTAAAGTGAAATAGACTCCTTCTCATCTTAATTACAATACCACTTTCAGTTTCTTTATTGAAAAACAAATAAAATCCTATTTTTAAATACCATAATATATACTTTATTTTATAGCATAAGGATTCCAACCCTAGTCCAGAAAGCTCTGAAAGAAGACAAGGCTGACTGCTTTTATTCAGAGCAAAATTATGGTCACCAAATATTCATTAACAGGGAATGGCTTTCCTTCTCTTAGAAAGGACATAGAACCTCAAAACAAGGTTTATATGGGAGCCAGTGAATTTAACACATGAATTTTAACACTTGCCAGCAACGGATGCTTACTCCAAAGAAAGAGTAAATCAATTGCTGTACTTTACGAGAGAAACTAAACCATCCTTTTTTCGGAAGCAACACATGTCCACTTTTATGCCCAAGAAAATGGAAATGACTGAGGGACTGACAGAGCTTACGGTGAAGTTTCAGACCTGTGAAATACATTGGTATGCATAAGTTTGACATTTGGGTTGGGGGGAATTATTTATGCTATCCCATTTTGCTGGCAGAGGATAACCTTGCCAAACACCCAAATCAGTAACTGCTAAAAGCCAAGAAAGAAAGGGAACGAAATGGACAAGCCGTTTCCATTTCCTCTAAGTGGTGAGCTCCCTGCTTTGTTAATCCCTTACATGCATCACTGCTAATGCCACTGTCCAGGGTGGTATGCAAAGTGGACAGAACTTTTTCCCCCCCTGCATTCAACATTTCAGCTAAAGAACTGCAAATCCCCAGGAAACTTTCACTTTGAATTCACTATGGATCAAGGGCAATATCCAAATCCTCTTTAAAGTACAACCCTAGGAGTCTGAGGCTTTACTCCATGCCAGCTGCATTTTCTAAAAGGGTGGATCCCCATCAAAGGGGGAAATACATAAAAGCATGGGTGAAAGAAAGCCCCACCCCCATTTGTTGTTATCCATCTAAAACAGAAAATACTTAGGAAATACCTCTGACTTTTGTTGGGGTCGTAATAGACTTTAGCCAAACCGTTTCCAGTTCCAACCATGATCTGGTTCAGCTTTGGATGCCATAGGCAGCGGACAACACTCTGAAAAGGAAAGACATGCTGTCAACAAGAGGCCAAACGAAGCTGGAAACTCTCTGCTTCTACTTTGGTGGCTATTTTAGTAAATCAAATATCATCCTGAGGGTTACCTGTAACTTCAAGGACATTTTCTGCTAAGCCATGAAGTTGTATTCCTGAGGTTAAGTTCCATTCCATTGCTTATTTTAAAAAAGATATTCCCTTCTGAACATTACTCCCCTCTCCAGACAGCCTTGAAACCACATTAGGCCTCCCAGTTCCACTGCCATGAGGATGGCATCATGGAATGCTGAATCCACTTCACTCAGTTAAGCCTACCACCAAAGCAGAGTTAGATCTCAGCATTTCATGCTTTTATACATATAGAATACATCCCTCTGGAGAGTAGATTGAGGCCAGGGGATTATTGCTTTTAGTTTTACAAAGATCCAAATCCCATAAAACTTTTTCAGAAACAACACGTACTTGTAGGCATTCGATAATCTCTCCCCACCTATGAGATAAAACAGCAGGACAACAGAAGGAAAACAGAGATACAGAATAGAAAGACTTGACATCAATCCAAATGAAAAGCTTTAAGAGACGGTTAATTGTAGGTTAGGATCCTTTGAATTCATTATTGGTAAGGAAAATAAGTGATGTTTTGGGGTAGAAAAGAACCTTGAGTTCTCAGAACTATGACCTGTTTTAAATTTTTACCTGTGGTAAAAGGGCAAGGGTGGAAGAGCCAGCATGGCAGAATTAAAGGGAAAAAAGATGAACTAATGTTGGTATGCGGAAACACCACATACTTATTCTGATACAGAAAGGGATGACAGAAAGTAATCCATTATATCAAGGTTTATTAATAACCTATCATTTGCCAAGTTATATATAGGGACTAAGGGAAAAACAGGTACAATTAGGTATTACCATCTTACAGTTACAATGATAAAATGAAAACCATGGAACTTCTATCTCTTAAATCTACATTTGGCTGAATTTCTTTAGCTCCTTATTTCAAATCAACCCACTCTTTGTTAAGATAGAATATCTGGGAGTCTCTGAGATCCCTTTTGATAGAAAATTCTTTTTTCTGACTTGTAAAAAATATCCATATAGTTAAATGGCTATAGATCCCTCTCTGAGATTCCAGAGGAACTAAGGAGAAAGCTGAAAAGTGTTTGGAGGACTTCTAATCCATATCTGACCACACTCCAGAAAAGGGGTTCTGAAGCTCTATAACACTGAGGAAGACTGAGATGTTCTACAGAGAAAATCAAATTAGAGTGGCTGTGTTTTGCCCCTTGGGAGGGAGAAAATTAAGTTAAAAGGGCATATTTTCATAATTTTAGGTTTTATTTCCACAACTCTAGGTTTTATTTTCTTCAACTCTATGGTATCTGCTACCCATTATCAGCTAGCACGTGCTAAAAGATGATAAAAGAGATACAACAGTGAGTGAAGACCAACAGAAAGATGTGAAAATAGTGAATTGTATTTAATTTGATAGTTTGGAAGGTTTGGTTGTTGCTTTGTACATATGCTTATAAAATCTATGTTATACTGCCTATATATAAAATTCATATTTTCTCCTAATACAATTGCTCCTGGTTGGTAAGACAGAATGAAGTATGTCAATAGCTCACGGTCTGGAAAGCACAGCCTGACTTCCAGGTGTTCCACCACTGAGACTAATTTGAGAACCACGTCTAAACCACTGGAAATTCCCAGATGGTCACAGCCAGCTATACGGAAACACGAGGAGAGTCACAAACGACATCATAAAGTCATGTTTATGTAACCCTATCTAGAATAGGTTCATCTGAAGTCTTTGCTTAAATGTCATGGCTACTTACACCACCCAATTTAAAACTGTGCCCCACAACTCCCCTTATTATTTTTTCTTTTTCTATAGTATGTATCACCATTTAACAAAATATATAATTTGTTTATTAATGATACTGTCTGCCTCCCAACTAGAACAGTAGTGCCATGAGCAGAGATCTCAGTTAGTTTTGTTTGGCAATGCAGCTTAACCACCTATTAGTGTCTGATGTACAACGTTTCCTGAAGGAATGAATTAACAGCTATGGTTCACCCATGCCTACATTGATTGCTTTGCTAGGTAGTACTGGAGATAAGTTTCAAATTAAGATCATCACTCCTCCATGAGAAATAAAACTGGTTTCTTCATATTATTATACTCAGGTATCTTACAAATGCAGCAGGGTTAGTTCTCTCCCAATATGATCCTAGAGAGAGAATATACATGAACCAGAGAGCATAAGACGACCATGAGAAGGGTTTTAAGGACTGTTCAAAATCTCAGTCACCCGTAAATGGCCCCAGGACAATCTTAAGGACATAGTATTAAAGTTATTTATCTTTCTTGGTTCGCTAGAGGTCTGGCTAAGAAGTCTAAGATTACTGGTTCTCAAATATGTTTTCAAGTGAGCAGGGTGCAGAATTGGAAAAGATCCACAATGTAGGCCTGATAAATTCCAAGACACCCAGCCAAACAGGCAGTTTCCAGGGGCAGCAGGTTACTGTTACTCTCTCTCTCTCTATGCTGAGGGTGTAAATGTTAGAGAGAGGCAAGTGCTCAGGCCAACAAACCAAGGTCCAATTGCTTTCCAGGGAGTCCAAGGGCACTGTGCCTCTATTCCTGTTCACATCCTTTGCCCTCCAGAGCTCTTAAGACACACACATGGCCAGTCAGTATAAGCTCTTATGGAGAAACACATTTACCCTCCTTTCATATCAAAGCAGAGAGAGACAAATAAGATCCCTTGAACTAAACAGTCATTCCAGAGCTCTGTCCACTGTGGCGATGAGTCACCAAAGCAGCCAATGAGAGGCCTGTGAGCAGTCTGATTTAAGCAAAAGATACTTAAGGCTCAATTACCCTAAGACTGGTTATTAATCAAACACTACAGGGATTCTAAAACACAGAATGAAGAAACAGAATTCAAAGTCAAAGGTGGGTGGGCCTTTTTTGTTTATTAATATTTATTGTGTGTGTTTAGCTAACCTTTGTAAACTTTGCAGCTAATGCGGCTCCACACTTTGCCCTGTCAAGGAAATGCATCATATAGCAGAGTGCTGGCCACCTGCCAAACCAAACAATCCCTGAGACTGCACGGGGCTGGGGAGCAAGCTGAGCTGCCACACTGCTAACTTGTCAAACACACATACCAAACTTTGCTTAACAACAATGGGACACGTGCCTGCTAGAAGCCCAAGGAACCATCAAGAGACAGACAAGCTATAAATACTTAGAAAGAGTGCAATCACTCCATCAGCCAACCACCCCCAAATATCCTTCATCATGTTCTTGAGGAAGTAAGCTGCTTTGGCTGGTGGATTGACACATTCAAGCCTACAGATTTACTGAGAAACACAGCAAATAAAGGGTTGGGAACACATTTGAATCAAAGAACCAGAAAAGAACATCAAGATACATGTTCTACTAGGATCAAAGAGAAAGCCCTCACATATCATGAGATTCAATTGGCAGAAGTCCACTATAGTGCAAAGAACTAGATTCTAAAATTAGTCTGAATATTTTTTTTTTTTGAAACATAGTCTCATTATGTTGTCCTCGGTAGAGTGCTGTGGAGTCACAGCTCACAGCAACCTCAAACTCTTGGGCTTAAGCGATTCTCTTGCCTCAGCCTCCCAAGTAGCTGGGACTATAGGTGCCCACCACAATGCCTGGCTAATTTTTGTTGCAGTTGTCATTGTTAGTTAGCTGGCCCAGGCTGGGTTTGAACCCACCAGACTTGGTGTATGTGGCTGGCGTAGTAAACACTGTGCTACGGGCATCAACTCAAGTCTGAATATTTTAATATACTGATCTGCTTAATTAAATTAATAAAGTGTTTTTGTTCTTACGCTAATGTACATCTTACCAAAACACGTGGGTCCACTAATGGCTTCCCTTAGATGCTGATGCTAAACCCCATTTTAGCACCAAATTGGTTTATGCTTTTAAACCAAAGCCCACTTTCATTTTAGCCTTATAATTTGTACAGAGTAATCACAAAACGTCCAAAAAGTACTTTGTTTTAATAGTGGCTACTAAGAGATGATAACCAGGATAGGAGATCACAAGCAAGTTGACTAGAAGGAGTTACAAGGCCTTCACGTGCTCAACACAGAGATCTTTCTTCCCTGCCAAGACCAAGGAGAAAAGAGGGGGCAGGCTGAGGAAGAAGAGAGCACAGTGTACAACTAGTAGGGTCAAGATTCCAATACAGGAATTTTGGAATTATCCCTTAGCAAAAGTGAAAAGGCCACAAAAAATTCCAAAGAACTTATTTCTGTGGTTTTGGGTTTACTTTAAGTGAAATCATGTAAGCAAAGAGGAGGAGGATGACGAAGAGTAGGGAGGAGGAAGGGAGAGGAAGAAGGTAGGAGGTAGAGGAGAAAACTAAAGAGAAAAATGGCTCCATGCCCGAAGCTCAGTGGTTAGGGAACCAGCCACATAGACGGGGCTGGTGGGTTCAAACTCGGCACAGGCCTGCTAAACAACAACAATGACAACTACAACAAAAAAATAGCCGGGCATTGTGGCGGGCACCTATAGTCCCAGCTACTTAGGAGGCTGAGGCAAGATGATCACTTGAACCCAAGAGTTTGAAGCTGCTGTGAGCTAAGATGTCACAAGTACTCTATCAAGGGCAACAAAGTGAGACTCAATCTCCAAAAAATAAATAAATAAATAAATAAGAAACAAAGAGAAAAATGGATTTGTATTTCAGGACATGGTGGGAAGGAATAAATAAGCACATGGAATTTAAAATTATCTAGTGTAACTGAGTCCTCACAAAAATACTACAAAGTTAGTAATCTTATCCCATCTCACAGATGAAGAAACTGATAATTGATAATTATAGGATAATGGATAACTTTCTTAAAGTCACTTGCTCATAGAGGTGTGGGATTAGTGGCAAATTTCTTTTTTTTGTTGTTGCAGTTTGGCCAGGGCTGGGTTTGAACCCGCTATCCTTGGCATATGG